GTGAATCGGAATAAGTTACCTTTGCAAAAGTAAGACTCTAAACTAGTAGTAGTGGCTCTGTGAGGCTGTAGTTAGGAACAGCAGTACTTTGAGCTAAATTCTAATGTCAGCATGCTAACATGCTATCACTGACAATGCTAAAAATCCAGGTGTAATATTTACCTTGTTCACCATCTTAAGCTACAATTTGCTCATTAGATCTAATACAAAGTACAACTGAGCTCGATGGGAATGCATTTCATTTAAGGTAACTGGTAATAAACCAAGGTATTGGGCAAATTAAATTGAGGAAAAATTACCTCAATTACCTCTAACATCATTAGGACTCATTCACTGGGAGCCATGGGTGTCTGTACCAAATGTATATCTTGCCTGGCAGTAAGACTTGGGATCCCGGTGTGACAAAACACGAAGGCACTGTCCATTAAATGGATGGCGCTCCCATAAAGGTTAGTGTGGATGCTGCTAGCTTCACTTATATCAGGACTGGAGAATATTTCTTCATTGAAAGAAGAGAAAAACAACAGCACAGAAGGCTCTTGATAAAAAAGATGTTTTTGCTCTTCTGCTGACTGATTGGTTAAAGTTTGCCTGACAGTGATAGACAGATGGTTCATCCAGTGATCTGTCGAGTATCTTTTGAAAGTGCCTTCCCATTTCCAAACAGTTTCCAATGATGGTTACCAAATTTGTGGCAATCCATCCGATAGTTGTTAAAATAGAAATACATTTAACAAAATAGAAAAAACTGGGCATCTAAAGTCAGAGTTTCATAAACTATTTCATGTCCTTAATAAGACACACACACTAGGCCCTGGACAACCATTTATAGTACCCAGCACAAGTATTGTTGCTCTTAAGTCTTTGTTGGAGCTTCACACAAGAACCCAAATCCATCACAGAGGAACAGTATTGTTTTAACAACATAATTGAGTAAGGAAGGACATCTAATCCTTTATATCAATTACATATACAGTATACTTGAAAAGTGATAATGGCATAGACTTTAGCCTCCATAATAAGCTTTTGAATGGATGCATGAATTTATGACTAAAAGAAAACGAGAAAGGAAGAATTTGGTTTCTGTGATGATGGTCAGAAGAAGAGGAGGTGAAGAAGGGGCTAAAAAAAAGGGATGGGTGCACAGATGGGAGTGGTGCTATAGCCAGTACCAACTATAAATAATGGAGTCACTACAGTCAGCGTGTGTGTGTGTGTGTGTGTTGTCAGCAGGTGTAAATTTGCTGGATTAATGCATACATATGTTTATGAATGCCCCATGTGTTTACCGGGAGTGTGTTTTCATGCGTATCATGTTTGTGTACATTGAGTTGAATTGTTTGTGTGTTTGTGTGTATATGTGGGTCTCTGTATGACTAGTGAAACATGAGTGCGTGCAGGGGCTGCTCCGTCTGTCTGTTCATACAAACCACAATGTGAGCAATGTGTATGATGTGCGACATGGAATTATGTATGCACACATCCACTGTGTATGTGTGCGTGTTCCTTATCACTGTAGATTATTTGATGTGTCTGTGTTTGTATATGCAAGGTAGAATGAGATCTGTCACTGTGTGTGTGTGTGTGTACTCTTTCCCCCCTGAATGCACTCAGTATTGAGTCATAACCCTTTACATGTATTACTCACACTCTTCTTTTAACGTCTTTCTTCTTCTTCTACACTCCTTCACTCTCTGGCCTCCTATATACGTCCTTTTTCATTTTTCCAAACTCTCTTTTTCGTTTCCTCTCTCATCTCTCTTTATCTCCCTCTATCCTCTTACCTCTGTCTTTCCTCTTTCATCTCATTGTCAACTGAGTGTTTGCTAAGCCCCGCCCCTTTAGTTATTGTCGCTACACCTGTTTCCATCCTGCCACAGCACATACGCAGTTTACAGTGGCAGATTTACCACTCGAAATTCTTAGTAATTTTTATTTATAGGTTAAAAACAAAGGCAGGCTTCTCATTTCTAGCCAACAACTGCTGAAATGACAGCTGTCACTGTCAAATTAGCTGGCTAACTTAACTAACATTAGCTCAGAGAGTTACTTGAAAACACCATCTAACATCTTCAGCTGACTTTTGAATGTTTTCAGCTGATTCATTTTTGTGTAGAAGGCCGATCATGTACTGCACATGAAATAAAGTTTGTTGCATCGCAATGTAGAGCTAGTCAGTCCTAGTATTCTAATAGTAATCTAACATAAGAATGTTTCAAACAGTAGGTGTCACTGTGTACATTACATGAGAACAGGCTTTTATTAGGATGAGCTTTAACCAATGTGTTGAATGAATGTAATGCTATCTTGGGTAAAGTTCAAGTTGTGTAAGCCTAAACTCCGACAGCATCCATGACCTGGTTCCACACGATGGAAAAACACCACAAAATAGCCGAACACACCTTTGAAAAATTTAACCCTAACAAACTGTAGTCAATGAAATGCTCCCTGGCTTTGGAAGTAATGCTCAGTTACTATTGTGGGTTGGAAGTAGGCAAGTCCTACATGCTAATGATTGCAGCTTATGTTAGAGCAGATAACTAAACTGTATTATCCATCCCTTACACTTTTGCTCATGTGGTTTTTTTTTGCAAAAGAAACCACCATGCAAACCTTTATTAGAAACCCACGTACACAGCTTCAATGTGTGGAGAAATCCAGATTTTGACAGGCCAGCTGTAGTTGCCGTTGCTATGATTGGACAATAGCTGCTCGGGGGAACTGGTTTTGCAAACTGTCATTTCTGTTCAGTTCATTTTAAACAGAACTCAGTATTACATTGTATTGTTAGTAACGATAGTACAGACAGATGACTGGAAATAATGAGGAAAAGAAATCATGAATTCATCATCATGAATTCTCTCCTCCCTCATCCTTCCCTCTTGTCCTCCATGCTGTATGGTACTTGGAGGTATTGTTATTCCTCTCGTTTCACATTTGACTAAACAATATTTTCATATCCTTTCCAACATTGTCGAGAGCTGGCCGCTCAACCTGATGTGATGCTGGAAATAGCAAATCCAGCCAGTTTTATCCACTGTTGCTGTGACAGCTCACCAATGAACACAATGCGCTTCCACTTCTCCACACCTCCATCACTCTTTCACATTCCTCTCCTCCCTCCTGTTTTTTCTCTGGTGAACCGAAGACTATTTGTGGTGTCAGAGTCAACATGGCTGACAGTGAAGCATGTGATGACACAACCAGGTGGAAATGAACACTATCTCTTCATCTCTGCCTGTCAGACACAGATGAAGTGTTGAGATGAAGATTATACACTCTGGGTGAAACAGACCAGAAAGAGCCCACACTGATGTGATTTCCATAGGACAAAAACACATACATTTGAGTCCTGAACATGTTAAAATTAGGTATGTTGTACAATTGGTATGAATTTTCTGATTTGGTGGTTTAATTTATTCATGCAGACATTATAAGCCAATATCAAAGTTGTGTAGCAGCACCAATTACACAGCTACATTATTTCTATCACATCAAGTGCTGCCTTGATTATGTTCAGTGGCAACATTTTTTATACCCTTTTCACACTTTTACCTGAGCACTGTGTAAAGCGTTTCTGCTGCATTTCTGCTTCCCTATCTTTCTATACCGAGTTTGCCTTTGATAAATACAGTACAATAAAAGCCTAGTTAACATACGAATGGATTCTGTCCACAGAAACGCGAGAGAGGGTTTAATCTAAAAAAGATACAGGAGGTGTTGAGTTTAAAAAATACATTTCTATTTTCTGACATATTCTACAGATAAATGCATTGAAACAGCAGTGAAAGGTTTATTCACTGTCTAGTTTTGCTGGGAACCACTCACACGACTCGAGCTGAGACGCGCGTCTCACGTGGGCAGTGTGGCTGCTCTAATCTGTTAACATGGGCGCCGACATAAAAAACATTCCACCACGCACTGCAGAAGCAGGCAGTGTGCTTTAGAGGGGAGAAAGTGCTTTGTTTATCTACAGTGCAAGACTTTGATACTGAAGACCACGGTTCACATCCTGTGTGTGGATAGGTTTAGGCAACAAAAGTACTTAGATCAAGGAAAAATAATGCTTTTGGTTAAATGATAGTGAAGTATTTTTCACTTTTTCATTATTCAACTAACACGACAATCTTTCCCGAACGTTAATCAAGTGCTCCTCTGAAAACATAACCATAAAAACCATTAATAATGCTTTGGTGGATATAAGCACATATTAGATCGCAAGAGCAAATACTGAAGGGAAACAAGTTAAATACATTGTAATTGAATACCAATGAGTACAGCAGTGTTAATGAAAACATTCCAATCAAAATTCAAATTAAATTATACTCTGACTCTAAATACACTGACAGATCTGATAACAGTGCCATCTCACCTATTTTGTTAGTCTACTAAGACACTGCTCACCCACACACACTGCTATTTTTGAATACCCCCACAGTTATTTCTTTTCAATTTACTTGTTAAGGTCTGGTTGCGTGCGTGTCCCCTCAAAACTCTCTGCGCTGCATTTTTGACTTTCCCTTGGGTGCTCCTAATTGAAAATGTCTCATCTGTAGCTGTACTGCTCATTGCATCGCTGTCAGCTGGAGAAAAATGTTATTAGGGCCTGGGGGAAGTAAGCAGCCTCATATAGAGTCCCACTGAGCGACGTCAACTTGGACAACCATCCTTGCAGAGGCTCCTCATCCTCTTCTGCAAACGTAATCCTGTTTGTGTTTTGTGATCTATCTTATTTGTTACTTAATGTTAGCTAATAGGATAGTTATTAATGAGGATCACCTAGCAGTCCTTGCACGCAGCTGTGCTTTGTGTCTGAGCAACAGAAATGACCTCCTGTCTGATTACAGCCTGACAGGGTGAGACTTTCCCAGTTTTAATAGACTTCTCTAAACACACTCACCATGAACACTCTCTTATTATGAGGGAGAGCATAAAACTGAAAAGGTTAATTATCTGGAATACACTCACTGAGTCTCATCTTTCTCCTTGCTTTTTAACAGGAAGATCATCGAGGTGAAGATTATTGATGATGAAGAGTACGAGAAGAACAAGGCCTTCACCATCGAGCTGGGAGAGCCTGTTCTGTTGGAGATAGGCCAGAAACACGGTGGGTGTCTTTGTGTGTGTATCTGTGTGTTCAGAGAGGAGCCAGGAGAGAGAAGAAAACAAGGAAAGAGTGACAGACAGAATCTTTATTTAACCACCACAATTGTCTCAGGCCTCCTGCACACCTATCTCTTTATAAACAGGTTGAGACCTGCATTGATTGTCTGAAACCTCCAATTTAAACTCAGATTAACTTGGGAAACATTTTACTTTGAACTTCGGAGGTGGTTTGGAAAGGATTTAGAAAACACTGGGCTTGTGCTACGAGCTACGTCCTTGTCACATCATGTCGGTTTGCACAGATAACAGCAATAATAACCACATCGCAATCAGACACTCATCATTACCATGTACATAAATAGGTTTACCATATACAGAATATACATTTTCAGGAAGCTTCTATATTTGTGTCTGAAATCTCTGTGCTATTGCACTGTGGTCACATTTGCAAAGAATTCTGTAAACTAAGCAGCAAGAAAAGAGCAGACTGAACACAATGTGCAGTTTGTTCCTGCCTAATAAACTATTTTGATCAGGTTCCTTTCTCAGTGGCAGCTCTGCACCGTCATTTTCTACAGTTTTGAATCCACAGTTACCACAGAGCTCAGTGAATCTAAAACATCTAAGCCCTTCAACTTTTTAAGAATGTAGTAAGCTTTAGTTGAAAAAGAATCGTTACAGCAGGTGGACAGCTAATCTCTGGCAGGTAACTCAAGGCTAAAGCCAACCATAGCTGAAAGTCAGTAAGTAGTTCCTGCAGCCTGTTCTGCTTTGACTTTTCTGTTCAAGTTCAGTTTACAAGATGAAAGAAAGGACAAAAAGAGTAACTCTCCTTGTGTCATTTCACTTCACTCCTTTCTTCACTTTCTTTCTCTCCCTCACTGATTTGCTCTTGACTGCAGCTCTGTGTGTTTGTTTGTGTCATTAAGAGGATAACATCTAACCTCACACACTGATTCTCTACCTGGGATTTGGGACCCCTACAAGGGGGACACATTAACAAGACATAAACTACAAAAACATATATCTGCTACACCAACTGAACTCTAATATTTGCTTTTTTCTATTAAATTATTGACTTTGAGTTGGTCAAAATGAAAAAATACAGTTGTTGTAGGCTTATGTTTGACAAAATAGACAAAACAACCTCACAGGTGTCCCAACCAACTAGTACACGTTCCGAACATATGATCCCCCATCAGGTTCCTACTTTAGAACAGTAGCAGTTGTGTTTGAAGGGGTGCCCATTTGAAACACCACAGGCTAGGCTAACATGCTGCCCGTGCTACACCACCTGTGGAGACACATTGACAGACACCTGGTGGAGTAAGAGTCTACACTCTAGATGTCACTTATGAAGAGCCAACAGCCTGGGGCATTTTCATTACTGGGGAAATTGGTTTTTATAACACTGTCACATAACAAGTGGACTGAAATTTACACACATACTCATCCACACACACACACACACCACACACACACACACACACAACACCACAACACACACACACCCACCAGGTATAACATACTGTACACTGCTTTGCAATTACAGCAGGTCTATACTGATAACAGCTGACTCAATTAATAATTATCACTGTATGTAGAGTGAGTGAGGATACATATAGATCCATGCAGGGAAGCATGTGGAACATATGGTAATGAAGAGATAGAAAGGTTGTTTCATGGGTGAAAATATGAATTCCTTGTGGGCATTCATATTTGTAATGACATGCAATGCTTAATAGCTTTGATTTCCCATGTGGCACATCAGTGTTTGAATATTAGCATTTACATTATAGACTTTCACAACTGCTTGCACACATTCTTAAAGTGATAACAATGAAATCTATGTATGCTGCTCTGGCCAAAATCAGACAAATAAAAACCTTATACACCGATCAGCTATAATATGTGACTGAAGTTAATTAACACTTATATCTGTTTTCCATTGATTCTGTCAGTGGTGGGGTAATTAGGCAGCAAGGGAACATTTTGTCCTCAAAGTTGATGTGTTAAAGCAGGAAAAATGGGCAGTGTGAGGATCTGAGCGACTTTGACAAGGGCCAAATAGTGAGACTAGGCTAGATCACTGGGTCAGAGCATCTGCAAAACTGCAGCTTTTGTGGGTGGTGAGTACTTATCAAAAGTGGCTGAAGGAAGGAAAAGCTTTGAACCGGAGACAGGGTCATGTGCTGGTGCACGTTGGGAGCGAAGGCTAGCCCATCCTACAGAGCTGAAAAGGTTAATGCTGGTTCTGATAGAAAGGTGTCAGATGCCACAGATCAGTCAGGGTGCCCAGCTGGTCATAATGTTATAGCTGACTGGTGTATAATACATGATTTGAGTTCAAATGCCATGCAAAAGCTCAATTAAAAAAATCATCAACCACATGAAAACGGAAAACACATGGTTACATGATGCCATATTCACCACAGGAAATTACTAACCAAGGAGGAAGTCTAAATTTTTGAATAAAAGTTTGTGTAGACATGACCCCAGTATCCTCAATGGTAGTACAAAAAAATCTGAGTACCTGTAATTGATTTCCTTTAAGTTGGTACCATAACCTCTGCACAGTTACACCAACCATACTAGCCCACTGACCCATTTATCCCTGTGGTCTCCTAGGTGACTCCAATGAGAACAAGCCATTGGTGGGAGCAGAGGACGAAGAAGTGGCCAAAATGGGCTGTCCCAGTCTGGGCGAGCACACAGCAGTAGAGGTGGTCATAGAGGAGTCCTACGAGTTTAAGGTAAGTGTGTGCGTTTGTGCACATCTCCATGGACATGAATGTGTGGATGTATGTAAGTGTTCCCTCTCATTTTGTACTTCAGAAGCTCTTCAGAAAGAATCAGCAGTTAATCAGTTCAATTTTAAATAAAATCAAATTTAAATATCACCAAAAAAGTAAAGTGACTCAAACTGCAAATTCCATCTAAAATGATTCAAAGTGAGAGTCAGCTTCCCCGGTTCAGAGCATGAATTATTAATTTTGTTAGCATGTAATGGACTCTCTAATGAGATGCTTGTCATTTTGATAGCAGACAACAAATAATTTATTCAAAGTGAGCTGTCATCTTGTTTCAGTACAAAACAGGCATTAAAAGAAAGGAAGTTGCTGGTAGACCATTCATCCAGCAAATTAGAAAATACATTGATTCAGTCATCTAGTAAATATTGGATATTAGAAGGAATACGTTTTCAAACTTGATCAGTTTTCAGTTTAGCCACGGATAATTACAGATTCTTCTTGTGAGCAGCACACAAAACACACCAACAAACTAGAGGTGTCCGTTTGATGTTCAGCTTCGTCGTGCAATGTCTGTGATTTTGATTTTGTAATCAATCATACTGTTTTTGTGTTGCATATTTCATTTGCTCATTTGTCCATCTGTGTTGTGTGTGTGTATGTGTGTGTTTGTGTGCAGAGAGCAGTAAATGAGCTTATTTGGCGGGCTGACAAGGTTATCTATCTTTCTCATTCTGAAATTGTGCCTGTGCATGCAATGGTAGCTCTTCTATTACTTCTCTCTACTTCTGTACAATACTGAAATGTAACAATGGTGTCTGGGTCCAGTATCACATTCTATTAATCTCCAAATTCTAGATGTCACCCTGTATTGACATCCATTTGTGATTTATCTTATTGTGACTGCTAATGTACAGTCAGTTCTGTGTTTGTTATGTTGTCTTTTATTTAGATAGTAAATCATGAATGATTTTATCATCACAAAACCCTGTAAGCTTAGTTATGATAATCACTGCTGGTGCGCTGCTCTATTGCGGCCGCAAGCTGTTTTGCATCAACATCTTTTATTATTCCCCTTCCTCTGCGCTTTAAACCAAAACCTCAACCAGTCTGCCTGCAGGTTTTTCCTAGATTTCACAGGGAGCATCACTGCCAATTTCACAGCATCGTATTAAGTAGCACATCCTATACCTCGAATCCTCAGTGTTATGAAATACTGACTTTTGAAATGTATCTTGCAATGTGGAAGCTAATTGAAAGGTTTTGAAAAAAAGCATTTTCCTCTATCTGTGTGGCTGCGAGTGAATTAACAACTTGAGGGTTGTGTCTTTCCTGTTGCACTTGCATGTTTGCTCGTGTGTGTGTGTGCGCGTGTGTGTGCAGAGTACGGTAGATAAGTTGATCAAGAAGACAAACCTGGCCTTGGTGGTGGGAAGCAGCAGCTGGAGGGAGCAGTTTGTCAATGCGGTTACCGTCAGCGCAGGTAATACACACACACACACAGGACACAAGACATCATTTTGATTTATGGACAGTGCTTTTGGTTGACAACTTTCTTGACTCTACTTAGAAAAGATGATGGATGACGAAAAAGTACATACAAGTTTGCATCAGCATTCTATTTGGAACCTTTTCATGCATTTATTTTAATCTATTTATTCAGTAGTCGAGTAGTGCAGGTTTCATTGCTGTTACTGAAATACCAATATTTCCTCTGTTAACACTATTCTTTAGTCGTGCTTTCTATTTTGGGAAATGTGCTTATTTGCTTTCTTGCAGAGAGTTAGATGAAAAGATCAATACAGGAAGGAATTTACTGTATGTAAAATTGAACTAGAATTGAACATTCAAATGTCAGAGTGATTGGCATACAGGCAGAAGGCAGCAGACTTACCACTAGCTCTAAAAGATGGAGGGAATTCAGATAGAAGAATTTAATCCCCTTTTTTATTACATCGCACATAAAAAATAAACAGCAGGAATACCGGACAGAGTGTGGGCTGCCAATCACTCCCATGTTTTGTGGTCATGTATAAAAATACAAACATTCTGGGACAGGGTTATTGAGATTCTTGAGGAGTTTTTATACTAGAAGATTACCAGGGACCCCCGGATTGTGTGCCTGGAGTTGATACCCGGTGACATAATTAAAAAGAAGGACATGTAATGTATCTCTTCAACATTCTGATACTTGCATGTGAAAAGGCCATCACAAGTAGCTGGACATTGTTGAGGAAATATACTTGTTTACCGTAGCTTAGCATAATAATTGTAAAGTTTGTAAAGAAAGATACTCCTGCTAACACCTCTGAGACAGCATCTCCAGGATGTGCCCAGCCAAGAAATAGCTAGAGCACATACCACTGTAAAACCACAATTAGTGTTGACAGGTGGAAGTTTTTACCTTTGGACAGAGCCAGGGTAGCTGTGAAGCTCTAGTCTAGTCATTATGCTAAGCTAAGCTATGAATTGTTCTTCTCCTTCTCACTCTGCCTTTGGCTTCTTTAGTGCATAGTATAGTTTTGTCCACTCACCTTTCTCCTTTCAATTGTATCTCTACTCTTCCTCTATCTGTCTCTTTCTACAACTTCTGAATCCACTACACCCAAAGGAGACGACGACGAAGAGGAGAGTGGCGAGGAGCGGCTGCCATCTTGCTTCGACTACATCATGCACTTCCTCACCGTCTTCTGGAAGGTTCTGTTCGCCTTCGTCCCCCCCACGGAGTACTGGAACGGCTGGGCCTGCTTTATTGTCTCCATATCGCTTATCGGCGTCCTGACGGCAGTCACCGGCGATCTGGCGTCACACTTCGGCTGCACGATAGGACTGAAGGACTCGGTGACGGCTGTGGTGTTTGTGGCACTTGGAACCTCGGTGCCAGGTGAGTGGGAGTGGTTGGATGTATGTGTGAAGTGATGAAGGCAAATTGTTTAACATTTCTGTCAGGATATACACTTCCTTACTGATGATAACATTCAAACCTCTTTTTCAACCAGAAGAAAGGGTACAAAAAATAAAGTGAGATGCATTTTTTCCCCCTGATTTCAAATATGACAGAGAAACAAACAAATTCCATCTCATTTCAATAGCAGCTGCTCTCAGTAACCAGGCTGGAAATCGAAATTGAATTGTAAACCACCGGCTCCATCACAGCCTTCAGCCTGAGCTTGTCTCTGCCTGGAGGGGACGCATGGTCCCGGGGCTTTAATTCAATTCCATTCCTCATTCCTCTCCTCAGCCGTTTTATTGTTGCCCCTCCGTATGATTTATAGAAATAGCTCCTTTGCTACTCTTCCAGGCGGTAACTTTGATGGCTTGCGGCGAGGTCTCTGGAAAGTAGTGTTAGAATCAATTCCCTCAGCAGCCGTATTATGGTGTGTGCTGGATTTGGAAGCAGATTTGATAACCATTATCAGTGTGTGTTCCCTGTCACAAGACATGTTGATGTTTATTTTTCCCTTTTTCCTGTTCAGTATCTCCTTTATTCTTTATTTTTTCTCACTCACGTTCCCCATTTTCTCTCCCTCCTCTCTCAGCCTCTTCATATGTTCCTCCCTCACACTTTCATATCCCACCTGACTTACGCCTGCTCTTGTGCCCCATCCCGGTCAATTTATTATTCTGACTCGGTGTTACCTTACCCCTCTCTCTCTTTCTCTCTCTCCCATCCTCTTATTGGCTTTTATGTTTTCACTATTGTATCATCCATCATTCTGACCTGTGTGTGCTGTGGTACGCAGGTGTGTGTATGTGTGAAAATGGTTTGCGCTGGTGAGGTGATGCAAGTTTGCGTGTGGCAAGTCCCACAGGTCATTATAACTTCCACTGGGAGTGTGTGCTCCCCTGTGTGTGTATGTGCGTGTGTGTGTGTGATTGTTATCTAATTCAAGCTTGTTAGAAACATTTATCTCATTTCTCTTTTCCCACTTTCTGACTTGCACCCTTCCCTCCTCCAGATTCATAAGCATTCCTGCTTTATTACATTGGAGACACGCTCGAGGATTAGCCAGCCAGTTTACACCAGATTTGCCGATTCAGGCAATTAGAGTGCAAATGCTGATCGGAGGCTTGGTTTGTACACTGTGAACTACTAAATGTTTCTGGCTGAGGTTTATGGAGCTCATTTGTAACCATGTGAGCCATTTAAATAGTAAGTGGTGTTTGATATTGCGTTTGTGGTGAACAGGTCCAGCAGAGATCACAGACTCTCACTGGTCTTGATGTCACACGCTGGTGCCGCACCGCCTTGAGTTGATCTCTGCAGGAAGTCTTGACTTTTTCATTGCCGTCACGTTCAAGACATTGCACATGAATGTTAAAGGGTCAGTCCAGCCCGATAAAACATTTCTGCCGCAGTACACTGAAGGCACATGGACAATTTTATTTGGAACTGCTTTCTACTGAAGAAATAGTCCACATTAACAGTGACAGGGTGTTTATGAATTATCCACAGTAACAGGAACAGTGTTTAGCCTGATGATGCAATTGATTTGCCATTTTGTTTCTCATTAAGTGTAGACATTGTGTTAATTTCATCGTTATTTTTCCCTAAAAAGTTATTAAATGACATATCCATCACATTTAAAGCACTTTTCAATCTACTGGACGCTATGGTAGTGGTTGCTAGGAGCAACTAATGTGTGTGTTGTGTTGTGTTGTGTTGTGTATGTGTTTCTGGCGTTGTTGTTTCAGTAACAGCTAGTGTAAGGGATTCAAGTGAGAAATTCATAATCTACAGTTGCTAATTCCACAATTGCTCTTTTAATTTGACATTTTGGGGGGCGGCTTGTTTGTTGTCTTACCAGGAGGTAGATGGGAGAATCAGTTTAATCTCTGTGTGAGGGACATATTAGCTTGCTGCAGGGGCTGTAGAATTGTGAGAGGGGAGGAATACACCATCTAGTAACTCCAAAATAGTCATAGCTGGCTTGCTACTATAATACATTACTATATAATACATTTAATATTTAGGAAGGAAGGTTATTTAGGACTGGGAAAGAAACATTGATGAACTTGGTCAATGCACAGTGTGCGATGCAATGGGTTCCTAAATTTGGGTATGATCTTCTTCTGTGTTGCCAGCGTCAGTTAGAACAGGGTGTGCATGTGTGTGGAGGCAATAATGTGCACTTTCATGACTCAGATTCAAACCCACAATCTCATGTGCCCATGTGTCAACACACAAACTTTTAATTTCTTCTTGTGTGGCACCAACAGGATTACCATTCACCCCCCTAAGAAACTTTGAGAGGTATTTTCTTCCATGCTGGGATATGAATTTTCACAAATCTCGCTGACATTCAAATGAGAATTGAGACTCATCTCACCAGCCCGTCTAAAAATAGCAATAAGCCGAGACAGGCGTACAATAACTGGCAGCTGTTTCCCTGGCGTTCCCTGCCAACCCGGTTGTACAGTCTCTCTTTTCACCCAATTCCTCCTCCAGTGTTCAGCACCACAGAGCTCCACTCATGTACACCTACAGCATTTTTACAGCATTTACTACATCTGTTCTGTCTTAGGCTTAGTATACAACTGCGGATTACAGAACGGAGCTCTTCCTGAAAACAATCCAAGTCAAATGTATCTATTTAATTTCCAGAATGTAGATGAAAAATAAGAGTGTATATCATGCCAAGCAGTCAAGCCTCTTAAGACAGTTAAGACTAAATGTAACATAAATCATTTCAAATGTTTGTCTCTAAGTCCAAATGAACGTAAATATGTAGCGATTTTTGCTAACTGAATGGGAATTTACAGGGCAAAGAGTCGGCTGGCTGTTTGGTTAGCTATCTGCGCTAATAACAAGCATTAATAGTTTAATGTTTATGTGTGTGTGATTCTACTGTCCAAGAAGTGAAGCTACAACAGCTAATTAAAGGGCCTCTTTTGTGATTATTTTCAACTCGGGGCCAAGCCTTTGAAATGTTTCAAGTAAAATGTAAGTTTATTTTGATAATAATAATGCTCTTTCCCCCTATATAAATTGTTTTGTGAATCTCTACAATGGATGCAAATTTAGCACAACCTGCAGTCAGACCCATTGTGAGAATAAGAAAAACAGAATGTCTCTTTAAGATGCACAGAAATGCACAAGCACAAACAATTCATTCAATTAAGTTCTGTCTCTTTAGTGTCTCTCAGCATTCTCTTTGCTCTCCTTGCAATATTTAATTTGTATGCTGTATTGTTTATCTTTGCCTGCGTTTCTCTGTCTCTAACAGTCATCCATTAAAAGTATAATTATTTCTATAAATACCGACATCTTTTACGCCGAGTGGTTCATGTGCATGCCTATGCAATCAGATGCCTTGATCTTTCTACACTTCTTTGCATCTCTTTTGCGATTCTCTTTGCGTACATTCCATGCTTCCTTCAGTACTAGATAATATGTGGGTGGTTTCATACTCTATTTTACCTTGAGGTTGTTTCTTGAGAAAGACATTTACTAGGGCTGCCCCCGACTAAGGATTGTTTTAGTCGAATAATCATGCTGTGTCTTCAAGCAATGTATAGTGTAACATCACACAAGTCTTGTGTTGTTTAAAACTCAGAATAAATAACTTCCAACTTCACTAAAACAAATACTCACAGGCTTATTGATACGATGGATGATGTATAACGCTAACTTGCTACAAACTTGCTCCTTCCTCCGTTTTATGCCTCTCCTGTCCCTGCCTAAACCTGCTGTGTCTTCATCCCCAGAATAGTCCTAGTCTGAGCCTCCTGGCCTCTGTTGATTTGCCCTGCTCCCCCGGCAGTATTCCCCGCTGGAATCCCTCGCTCTTACATTAGTAGTGCTTACTGTCCAGTCCAATTACAGTCAGCTAAAAGGACTGCCAACTAGCTAGTGGCAGCTGCTACTACAGTCAGCAGTAAGAGACTCCCTGTGTTACAAAAGCAAAGGTCCATGTTGCAACAAATCCCTAATGCGAAGTGGGTCGACTATGACTCTTCTCATTTCAACGGTTAAGTCGACTATTAGTGGGCAACAACATTTACAAAAGTTATTTTCATGAGGCTCATTTTCATATTATTGCTTCACATTATTTGATTATTTTGACCACAGGTTGGTGGTTTATTTCTATGTTTCCTGCAAAGTTAAAACTTTTCACATTGGCTTAAAAACATAAAATCAATAATAACAGTAAGAATAAGATTCTTTTAAAATACGATATCAAAGATGCCGAAGCCTTAAAGTTACAGTAAAACCTTTGTCTTCCTCATACAGACACATTTGCCAGCAAGGTCGCCGCCATCCAGGACCAGTACGCTGACGCCTCCATTGGCAACGTCACCGGCTCCAACGCCGTCAACGTCTTCCTTGGCATCGGCGTGGCTTGGACCATCGCCGCCGTCGCCTGGCGCTCCAAGGGCAAGCCGTTCAAGGTGGATCCAGGAAACCTGGCCTTCTCTGTCACCCTCTTCACCATCCTGGCCGTGGTGTGTGTGATCACACTGCTCTACCGGCGGCGGGCAACGGTGGCCGGCGGCGAGCTGGGCGGCCCGCGGACTTGCAAGCTGATAACGTCACTGATGTTCGTCTCGCTGTGGCTGGTTTACATCCTGCTGGCTTCACTGGAGGCCTACTGCCATTTACCAGTGTTTTAAATGGAGAGGAGAGGGGAGGGAGAGAGACCTACTGCCAATATGAAGAGAGAGAGAGATGGAGGGATGGAAGAGTCTTCAAAGAGGGATGCGACCGGGAGAGATGGTTAGTAGAGGTGGATCGACAAGGGCCAAGTCAGACATTTTCATGGAGTCAACAGATCTTTACATTTTCTTTATTTAAAGTCCAAAACAACTTTCAGTGTCTTTGACAGACTTTTTTTCTCTTTACATTTCTTTATTTCATGAAAAAGACCGTATAAAACCATTATAAAGCATAAAACTCTCCAATGTCTCCAAGGAGACCCACCATCGATCCAGTGATGAAGGATACATAGAGCCTCTAAATTAAGAATTATTTAACTCAACACATTCATGAAAGGTTTTAAAGAGCCTCATCACCAGTGGATGTGATTGTTTAATAGTTAATAAAAAGCTGATACCGTTCCAGCATACTGCCAGACCAGCAGGAGAGAGGAGCTGTTAGTCGGCCTCTTAAGGGAAGACGAAGGTGAAGAAGAGGTTGAAAGGTAAAAGTGGAGTTGAGAGTTGAGAGGAAGCTGGAGGTAACCAAACCAGAAGAAGTCTGTGTCAAGTTGATGGAGAGACTAGAGAGAAGACGACACAGGAGAAAGTAAAAAAGGTAGATGGGGAAAAATATTCGACACCCCCTCCTCACTCTCTCTATCGCTCCCTCCATCTTTACTGTATCTCGCCATCACGTGAACAGTGGATTCTCCCATTACACCCACTGAACTCTATCTAATACTATCAGTGACTTACTTTTAACCCCTCTTCCCCCAACTGCACACACACACACACACACACACTTTGGGGCCCTCAGGTGAATCTGCAGTGGAGGACCACGCACTAACTTGTGGGCGAACAGGCAAGATAAAAACTGATGACCTCTTTTTGTCTTGATTTTTTTTTTTCCTTCTTTTCTTGAATACACTGTGCAAAATAGTCCTTCCTATAACACACACACACACACACACCAGAGACTGTACACACTCCTCTGTCCCCCCCTCTTGCCTTACTCCCATCTCCCCTGTAGAAATTGTCTCAAAGTTGTGATAAAAACGCTGTAGTCACCAACCAACCCTCTTTTTAATTGAGCCAATCCCAAGTCCCTCTCCTTTTAAGCCAATCAACAGCCTCGTTTATCCCATGTAGGAAACGTACCCTCCTCCTTTTTTTTCTAATCTTTTCAATGGCGTCACGTGTTGATGTTGTTACTGTGCAATTGTAAAAAACAAAAAACAAAAAAAAAAACAAAAGACAAATATAGTCTGGAGAAATGGAAAGAAAGTTAAAGTAGTCTTTTTGGAGGATGGGATGTTACTAAGGATGCTGATGAGCAGATTTAAGATTAGAAACATAAGTCTGAAGGACCAACGAGTAAGCAGTCCACCTAAAGATAGTTGTCTTTCTTGTAATGAAGAAGCATTGTGCAACACACATTGTTTACAGTCTAAAGTTGCATTAAATGGCGGGGAACATGTGAACAAGCAGAGCTAGAGCCCAGCAGGAAATGATGTAACGCCAAGTGACATCAACGAACAAGACAAAGGTGGGACCAATCGGAATGAAGGATCTCACTGGTGACTTGACAGCGACTGTGAAGAGGAGGACGATGACAGTGTTGTTGATGACAAATCAAAACTATGACCATACCCAGTGTTTCTAATTGTACATGATAATATAAGAAACTGTTATTGATGTGTGCGAGAAAAACACTGATATTTAGTTTATGTGAACTCCCTCCTCTTTGTAAGGAAAACTCTGGAGGAGGAAAGGGAAGATCGATGTGCCCCTTTTTCCTCTAAAACACAGTTCAAGAAGACATTTTAAGTAAATCCATCACAAGTGAAAAAAGGCTGTACGGCTGACGGTGAACCAGACACAACTGACAGACGGAGAGAAGAGTTGAGTGCTCTGAGGGAAATGTACGGCAGCTCTGAAATATCATGTCATAACGTTGGGATGTTTTTTTGAACGCAAAACAAAAATCACAAGCCTCTGTTATCCAAAGATTTAATGGAAGAATACTGTCACAGATCACCATTAATTTTCAGAGTGAAATTTTACTTTGCAGCATTATATAAGTCCCACAAGCTGAAAAAAAACTGGCAAGTTTAAATTTATAAAGGTGTTGATGAATATGCTTAACCATTGGTATTATTTATGAGGTTGAGCCTGTATCAAAAGCTGTGCTATTTATTTTGTGTTTGTGAAAAGTTTGTCGATTCAGGCATGGTTGTGAAAGTGAAAGTAAGATATCAGAGTAGCTTAAAACATGAAATTAACCATTCTGTTATTATTTGTCTGTCTGAGAAAGTGTCAAATCCAGATTTACATTATGTTATGTTGTGTTAATACCCCTGCCCAGGGGCTTGGAATGAAGCAGGACAGAAGGGACGGCATATGGCTTGTCAGTGTAAATGATTGTTAAATGTTGTTGTTAACTATGTCCTTCTATGCTGTTAACAACAGCATAGAAGGACAAACTCTGCAACCATTTCCCTCGCAACTGCCCACAAAGCTGTTTGTACACTTTTGAGAGAAAATCCTGAGAGAAAACAATAATTTAGCTTTTTGTTATATCCCTGTTCACTAACAGAAAAATGGGACTGAAAACAACAATTTACCTGCCCACCACCCGTCTTCTTAAATATGGACAAATTAGCCGCTGCTTTCATCTCTATGTAAATGCAGGCTCAGTCGTGACCAGGCTGAACACAGCACAGCTTGTCTGACGTGGCCGTGCTAAGTTCAGTTCTTGTGCAAATAGAAGATAAGTGAGCAGAGGGGCATTGATCTGTTACCCCTTCCCTCAAATGTGACATTTTAAATGCCAGACCAGTTCCTTTCACTTTCTGATAGCTGTAAAGGAAAGGAGAAAGTGGATTATTCCCAACCCTAATGGTAGAAAATAGGTGAACAATAGTTTACATCTTAGAGTTACTGCATCAGCTGATTCCAGGCTCAGCCAAGATTCACTGATAGAAGGAGTTTGGCCATCATGCTCCTGCTCTATTTCAAAAGAATATTTCTTGGCTGCAAATATTTAACTTTGCTGTCTATATATTAGACACAGATTTCCATCTCACAGAAGAGCTGCTCTGGAGCTCAGAGGGAAGACTCTTCAGCATGTTGGGTGCTTACAGGGCCGTAGCCAAGATTTTAGAGGTACTGAGGTCATGTGTCCCCAATGCAACCCTACCCTCCAAATATTGTTTTTATATAATTATTAATTTATATTCTTTTTGATGGCCTGAAGGTAAAATTTAAATATATGAAGCCTAACAAGACTACAAGTCTACCGCCAAAACAGAATAGTTTTGAAATTATTTTGTCATAACCAAAGTATTGGATACATTTACATTTTCACCAGATGATGGCGCTACAGGGAACGTGCAAGGATCATCAGAGTGATATTACAGTTTATCACAAGGGCAACATGAATGTCTGTACTAAATTTTATGGAAATTCATTCAATATTTGTTGAGACATTTTACTCGAAATCCCAGATGTCAACCTCATGGTGGCGCTAGTTTGAAAAGTTGGACAATCACCAAAGTCAATAGGATTTATCCTCCTAGTAACATGAATGTTTGTACAAAGTGTCATGGCAATCTATCCAATAGCTGTAGAGCTGTTTCATTCTGGATGTGGTGGACTGACCACTCGGTATTGTCATCCCTAGAGCTATGCTAGCAACATGGCTACAAACACTGGAATCAGAATGTTATCTTCCCCCACAAATCTCTAAAATACAAAAGACATGACCTCAGTGTCTTCAATCGCAGCTACAGCCCTGGATGCTTGTTGACATGACTCTGTATCACCCAGCTGACTAACCATCCAGATCCTCATTGTCTCAGCTTCCTCAGTCGTTTCTGTAGCACTCAGCATATCCTAAAACACAGTGAACCCACCATGAAGAGGGTCATCAGCTTTACAAGACTGGCATGGCTTCTGGCCCGCTGAGACGGCAGGTCGCACGCCGGTTCAAACTGTATTTCTCAATGACTTAAGCTCCTGTTACAGTTGCCAGTTTAAGAATGAGTGGGCAGGATAATAGTGCTGCTGACGCCACAGGAACACAAGAATACTGGGACTGATTTAGAAATTCTGGCTTTTTAAAGGTTGATAAGCCTAGCTGGAGAACGGCTGAGTGTGTGTCCGTGTGTCTGCGTGTGTGCATGCTTTCTAAGCGAGTGAAGAAATGCAACCATATTTTTAGTCTCTTGCCTGTTGCTTAGCGACCATCTATCTGTAAGCCGTTGTCTTCTTGACTGTCGCTGGTGTGTGTGAGACATTGTGTGTGTGTCATTCTCTTTTGATGTTGTCTCTGTCTGCTCGCCCTCCTTCGTTTAGTGACTGTGACAATATAGTTTCTCATTAATTTCCTCTCTCTCTCTCTCTGCGGGTGAATTTCCACATGTATTATCATCATCATATGTTCATTTCTTGTTCATCATGTGTTTCTTTTACTTTATGATCCTTGTGCCTCCCCTTGTTTGCATGTGTATCCATTGTGTCTAGATCTGCATGCGTATTTGTGCCTTTGTTTGAGTGTGTGTCGGTTGGTGTTGTAATCTCCTTATAAAAGGGCTCGCCCAGTGTGTCCCTGGCTGAGTCCCATACGCTAGATTAATACATTAGAATGCCAACCTGGCCCACAGTAAAAATGACTGGAAATTGGATTCCCTCCCTTGTGTGTGTGTGGGAGAGAGGCAGGTAGATTGTACCTGGTACGACTCCCTCGCCAGCCGTGTCTGTGTGCGTGTGTGTGTGTGTGTGTGTGTGTACCTGTCAAAAAAGATTAGATATATAATAGATCTGGCTGTCGATCAAGACTGGGAATAGATGGCGCTTAAATAAGTGTGTGTGTGTCCAGTATGTGAGAAACTGTCATATTGAGGTCACAGACTCCATTGGCTGATGGCTAGATGTGGACACACACTCAAGTGTTAATTTACACTAATGTACAGTATGCGCAGAAACACAGATCAATATGGGAATTAATCAAGCCACACACACATACACAGTGCTCGGGAGTGCTGGTGATTTTTCATTTTTATTTTACAGTGTATTAATTGAAGCTGTGTGACAGAAACTACATATTTCCCAGTAATGTCACGCTTCAGTTTGGTTAAAAACTGACTACGATGGTGGCCTGAGATGAAATGTTTGAGGTATGAAGATTATGTTGTGGTAAACCTGGAGGTTGTCATATTTACATAAACCTTTTAACAATGTCTGTTTCTTACTGCGTGTTCTCTGGTTTTGATTTCTTCCAACATCACAAGAGTGAGATGTCATGAATGCAAAGCAAAACAGATTACAGTGTTTGTCAGATTTCAGAGCCACTCTTAGCCACACTCTTATTGGCACCGCTATCTGTTCTCAGCTCTAGTAATTCATGAAAAAAGGAAATTCATCAAATTCCATACTGACTCAAATAATACTCACCATGTTTATATTTTTAATTGTTGAATGTCACCTCCCAATTTGCTAAAACCCCAAATATCCAAAAACAACCACCAAGGACGTGACCTCAGTGTGCTCAGTGTTAGCTACCGATGACTCTTCCTCACAGTGATCAGTGCTACTGTATGCTTTCAGACATATAACATATAATGAAAAGGATTTGTTCTCTGAGCACGTTTGTAAAGATCCACTATTTCCCTTATTTGTACTAACAGACTGGGAAACATCCTGTCTGTGTGTGTGTGTGT